TATGGTACTCTCTAGCACTAACAGTGAATGATAAATACCTAAATACACTTGGATGGAGGACTCAAGAACTCCTATACATGTGAAATTTTAACACTTCACAAACAAGAAATGTGTGTACACAAATCTGGCATGTTTGCAGTAGATATCTGAAGGATACATTTGCATCCTTTAAAACAGTTAACCATAACTTTACGCAGTACTTCACAAATATAGCATCAGTCCTTTGAATGAATGCACTCTCTGAAGTACCATAGATATTATCCCCATTTTATTGACAGGGAAATTGAAGCAGAGAGGTTAAATAACTTGGAAGGGCACAGTGAGTTGACAACAGAGCTAGAATTAGAACTCAGGAGATCCTCATGTACCTTGACTGCTTTGCCTCTCTAAAAAGAACCAAGCCCCCATTTAAAAGGCCAAAGCATCAATACCCAATTAGGGTAAGATTTACCTTAAAGGAAAGCTTCCAAAAAATTACTACTATTTTGTCTTACTGTAGCTCCTATGGCACGTTGTAGTCGTAATATCTGCTCAGGAGTTTGTTCTTCCCATTTTATACAACTCACAGCAATAGTGACTTTAGGAGCTAGAAAAAAGCAAAGCAAAAAAGACCTTATATTTTTGCTGTGTGTTTATTTACAACTGTAATTTGTAAAGTTGTTAAAAGCGTCTTGATGCACCACCAGCACTAGAAGATCACACAAGTTAACAACACCTATGCTCAAGCCCAACAGTTAATTTTCTGGTAATGCAGACAGGAACAGCATGAAACTGATTAGAATCTTGAGATGTAGTCTTTCCTTTAGCGGTTGCAGGGGCTGTCAGAAAATTGCTAGTGCTGGAATCGAAGGAAAGATTCTGCAGCGTTCTACCCCCATGATGTTAATCCTTTACCACAGAAGTCACTGTAAGTTTTCCGTTGATTTCAAGAGATACAGACACAGCCCTAAATAAGAACCAACACACACAAGAGTGCCCAAAAAACACAATGTAGGATCACGGGAACTGAATTCTATGCCCAGGTAATATTGAAAAAATGAAAAACATACAATTTCCATTACTTAGTACCTACCAAATGTTACTCCTTCATTTGGTTGCTCTCTTGTGTTTTTTAAACTTTCAGGTAAGTTTTTCAAAACTGAAATGAGCTGCAAAACAAAAAAAGGCTTTGTACAGAACAAATTTAAATAGTACATGAGCATTATATTAAATATATTGCCAGTAGCATTCCTCCAAGACTTTTAAAGCCACACATATTTTGATCAGTCCAACTTTCTAAAAGCTCAAAAGAAATTCATTTTACTGAACTAAGAACACACCTAACTGTGCATTTTTTCCAATTAAAACTGAAAATTCCTCAGCCTCATGCTGGCAGGTGGCCTGCTAGTGTCAAAAGGTGTAAAATTAAGTGAAAAAGCTGCCACTGACTGGAAGCAATGTCAGCCTCAGTATTCATACAGCGTATTTAAAAAGTTGTTCTTTGGACATAGGTGCTGATTCGATGGGTGCTCCGGGGCTGGAGCACCCACAGGAAAAAAAATGCTCAGCACCCACCAGCCACCCCCAAACAGCTGTTAGGGGTGGTGCAGTGAGGACGGGGCCTTGGGGGAGGGGTGGAGTGGGAGCAGGGCCCCTGGGTGGAATGGGTGTGGAGCACCCACCCGGAAAAATAAAAGTCAGTGTCTGTGCTTTGGACAGTTAAACTAGAACTAGTGCCCACCAGAACCAGTTAATAGATTGGGACACCAATACATCTTTTCAGCAACACAGGATGCTCAGAACTGTCAAATTTCAGACCACCTGAATCTATTTTCCTGTCAAGGCTTGCAGTTAAATCATGGAAGCATTAAAAGCAGTTAGGTTTGTGTATGGAGGGAATGCACTCCTTTGTTTTCTAATTCATTTACAAATAGCTCATAACAAGGAATGCTTCTCAGAATGGAAACTTTGAGGACAATGCAATGAATAAAGTGGGCAGTTACTTGCATAGATTTACCATGTTCGCACCCAACTTTGATAATATTACTTCTAGTTCCTTTGCTGTGCACTGGGAAGGAACAGCATACTTTTCCTGCTTAATAATTGGACCTACATCAAACCTAAAAACAAAAAACATATGCATTAGCTTCTTCCTCTAGTAGACTATCACTTCATTCACACTAGATCTAGTGTACAATTTAGCACAAGGCTAGTATATTAACTCAGTTGCTAGCTATACTCATTTGCAAGCAGAAAGAAAGAAATGACGACAATTTTAACACTGGGTTCACAAGTCAACATTATGGAAAAGAAAATAGGATTGTATTACAGAGGCAAGCTGAAGCTGGTCTGAATATTTGACTTACAATTCCAAGTGCTTTATTTCAAAAGAAAAATGGCCTGAAATATTCAAGGTGAATTTCATACATTATTGAGATCTGTTATCCAACAGAAGTATGATAGGAAGAATATTCCTCTAGTATAGCTAAAAACAGACAGGTCCACAGTAAAGGGACATAGCATGTACCTTTTAATGTACTCGGTACACTATGCCACTTCATTTTTTGTTCAGCTTCAGAAATGAACAAGTTTGTAGAACCTGTGAGTACACCATATAGCATCTAGAGAAGCAGATCATCAGAGGAGAGAAGTAATTTACCAGTTTCACTGCACAGTTGATTTGAGATCAGTAGTCCTGCAGATCTAGTGCTATTTTTGACTTGTACAGCACAAAGTGCTTAACAGACAGCTGTGATATGGTGGTCTGGTGGAAAATCAATTTGTCCACTCACAAGCCGTATACATGACAAGTCACAGCAGTTCAGGTAAAACTTCTGAACTGTTTTAAAGTATTTAATATTAAATCATCTGTATGGGTGCATACATCCATTTTAATTAAATGAAATTTAACGTCAATACTATTTAACTTTAAAAGAATGAATATTCAACACAGTATTAACTTAATATTTGTGAAAGGCAGACATTGCAGTGATTGAATCTTTTTTTTTTTTTTAAATGATGTTTGCTGTACCTTTTAGGCTTAATTTGCATAATTGTCACCCCAGTTACTGTATCACCATGAAGCACTGCGTGGACTATCGGTGCTGGGCCACGCCACCTTGGGAGATAGCTGGGATGGACATTCAACACGCCACTGAATCAGAATATTTTTAAATTAGAATAGGACCAGTAATTCTGTAACACATATAAATGAGTATTAACCATTTATTATACTGAACTTGCTTTCTATAAAAACCATGATTTAGCTCTTTAGACGTATTGAAAATTCAATCAGTTTCACTAAGTCATATTTAAAATGCCAATCCTAAGAACAAATAAGCATTTAGAGGCATATTTACACTATATAGCTTTAATGTCTGGCCACAAGTGAACAGGGGAAGGGGAACACACCACATATTTAGAAGGACCTCATTAACTTTTTGTAAGTCATTTCTGTATGTCAACATTTTTGTTTTTGAATCTACTATTGTTACAAGCAGCACTGGAACAGATTCAAGAAAATAAATTTCTCTATTTTGTTCAGTTTATTAACTTTGCACATTTGATAGACTTTCTGCATAATCAGCTTCACAGTTTGCACAGCAAGTTGTGTGGATCTTTCACACAGCAAATGGGGAAAGAAAAACATTTTAACAGAGCAAGGAAATGTGATTTTCAAAGCCATAAAAATCTGCTGCAGAACTCAGCAACAAGCTTAGTATTGGCAACGACTCAACTTCTTTAAAAAAATGACTGGTTTTCGAGTTGATGGTGTCCCTTTAAAGGGATTTGTCACACTACAAAAGACCCAAAGCTCAGATGGTCTTTTCACATGCTTCTATAACCAAAGTCAGGGTACGTCTTCACTACCTGCCGTATCGGCGGGTAGCAATCGATTTATCCGGGATCGATATATCACGTCTCGTTAAGACACGATATATCGATCCCCGAACGCGCTCACTGTCGACTCCAGAACTCCACCAGAGCGAGCGGCGGTAGCACAGTTGATGGGGGGAGCCGCGGCCGTCGATCCCGCGCCGTGTGGACCCCAGGTAATTCGATCCAAGATACTTCGACTTCAGCTACGCTATTCGCGTAGCTGAAGTTGCGTATCTTGGATCGATCCCCCCCCCAGTGTAGACCAGCCCTCAGTCATACACAGACAACTTAAAACTAGCTTCACGGCCAAAACAGGCTAGACGACAAGAAACATATACCATACCCCAAAACAGGCTGCTGCTCCATCATATCTGACTTACTATGGAAACTGAAGAATGAGGTCCTCACTCAGAAGGCGCCCAAACGATGCCACCACCCCGACATCAAACTGGCCACTGGGTCCTGTATCCGGCCAGTCATGGGTTGGGAGTTGAAACTGTTTAGCGCAGTTTTTCACAGGAAGCCCCCTCGGCAAAGCGGATGGCAGGGTCACCACCTCCAGCCTGTCTATGAGCGGCTCCTCCCTGGGCTCCCTGTAGCAGAAGGACAAGGTGGCACATGCCAATGAGTGACCAGCACAGCCAGGAAGGGAAGGCAAAGCCGCTCTGGGCACAACAGGTGGAGAAACAGCTGCTCCCCCAGGCACCCCAACGCTTCCCCACCTCATGCCCCCCCCACCCCATCGTCCCTTCCCCTGGTCCCCACCTCCCAGTCTCCCCTCCGCTTCAACCCCCCCCCAAACCCGTACCCCCCCCCGCCCGGTGCCCAACCCCTCCATGATCCCCGCTCACCCCCCTCCCCATGGTCCTGCCTCCTCGGTCCCTCCCATGCCAGGCCCCCCCCGCGCCCACCCCATCCTCCCCTGGTCCCCACCTCCCTTCCTCCCACCTTCACGGTCGCCCAACACCCAGCCCTTCCATGGCCCCCGCTCCCCCCGGCACCTGGCGGCCTCCAGCGCCCTCAGGGACTCGGCGGCGAAGTCGTCGGTGCCGAAGAACAGGACCCGCCACGGGGGCTTCCCCCGGGGGGCCCCGCGCTCGGCCAGCCCGCGAGCGGCGGCGGCTCCCTCCCGCCAAGCCCGCAGCAGCCTTCCCCTCATGCTGCCCGAGCACGGGCCGGGCAGCCCCCCAAGGCCCAACCGCTTCTGCTTCCGGGGTCGCGGCACGTGGTGACGCAAACACGCCACGCAGACCGCCTCAGCACGGCCTGGCGCTATGACGTCATGGCCCGCGGCGCCGCGGAGATGGGAGGGGCCTGAGGAGGGGGCGTTGCCTGGGCGCCGGGGCGGGGCTAGGCCATGACGTCAGCGCAGGGGGCGGGAGGGCTCTGAGGACTAGACAGGTCACCCCAGGCCTGAACCTCCCTTGTCCTGAGGGGAGCAGCGAGGTCCCTGCCCACAGCCCCCTCCTGCACCCTGAACCAGAGCCGGCCCTAGGCTTCGTGGGGCCCCTGTGCCCCATGGCAGCCTCGGGGGAGGGCTGAGGCACCAAGGCTACTGAGCCGGCCGGCCGCTTCCCGGGGCGGAGAATCACAGTGCCCCACAGAGACCCCCGTACCCGCTCCCTCACGCAGACTGCCCGGTGACGGCGCATTCGGCTCTGTGACTACGGCCCCGCCTAAGGAGACTGCAGTGCACGCTGGGTCTGCGGGAGCCGACCCGCCCTGACCTGTGGTCATGGCCGGTGGGTGAAGCGCTTCTGCCTGTGGCCCCACCCATACTCCACTCCTGCCCTGCCCAGGCTCCGCCCCACTCTGCTCAGGCCCCGCCCTCTCCCACTGTCTCCCTCCTCTCTTCTCTCCCTCACCCCCTTCCAGCCAAATCCCTGAACCCAAATGAAGTAAATGACATTAAAGAAATTGCAGAAGAGGGTTTTTTTTCAAAAGAAAACGGAGCATGTTTTCCACTGCATGCCAGCTGGTGAAGACTGGACGTGCAGAAGGTCCCTGATTAAAAGCACTAAATTTGGGAATAAAAAATGTCAGTCACAGGTTTTTTGATATGCCCTGAAGTTTGTCAGAGATTTATTTGCAAAAACTTTGTAGTAAGGGCGAGTCAGCTGTCCTGCTGAATACAACATTACGTATTATGGAATACACGATGCAGCTCTTCTCTGTTTTACATTTTCTGAATCAGGAATTCTAAGCTGCTTTTATATTTTAAATGTACTCTTAAGCCTTCATAAAGTAATCATTCCAGATAACTACATATTTAAGTCACTGAAACAAAGACATTATTTTCAATTAATCAGTCACAGAGGTTTAGTGTCTTCATAACAATGTTCATTGCTTTTAGAAAAAGGGAACACTAATTCACATTGTGTAATCTCCATAACAATAGACACGTTTATGAAATTTCACCAACTATAAAAAATATCAGAGGGGTAGCCGTGTTAGTCTGAATCTGTAAATAGCAACAGAGGGTCCTGTTATATTTTTTTATAAAAAATATGTTTCCAAAGATTTTAGGCATAACAAACGATTTTATATCTTACTAAGGTACTGATTTTGCTGGAGGGTTCTCTTAAAACTAGTTCATCAAATAGTCAGAAGTAAGGAAAGGGAAACCTGTTTGTCCAGCTATCTGGAAGGAAAGGGGTGTTTTCCCTTTAAGGGCTCTTTTCAACAGCGGGGTGAAGGGAGAACAGGATGGACAGAAAGGACAGGAAGACTTTGGAAGCAAGTTTTTTGGACTATAGTAATTAAAATTAAAATGTGTATTTTAGATAAGGGTGGTCTTTTGAAGGATTTATTTAAAAAACTATATGTCTGAAGATGCAAGCATTTAAGGCTAAAGATGAATACTCAGATTATGCATCTAAAAATCTATGCATGGATTTTTTAGAGATGTGATTTTATAATCTTCAGCAATCTTCTAATGAAATATTTTTAAAGCAAATTTTAAACTAAGGTCCTGTAGACTAACATGTTCTGAGTAAATATTACAGTGATGCACAACTGTTTTTGTCAGTACATTCAGAAACTGACAGTATATACCTGGGGGTTGGCAAATGCCTGTTAAATGGCTTCAAAGAAGTGAGGTTTTTACCCACGAAAGCTTATGCCCAAATAAATCTGTTAGTCTTTAAGGTGCCACCAGACTCCTTGTTGTTTTTGTAGATACAGACTAACACGGCTATCCCCTGATACTTGATACCACTTGAATGGCTCTTTAACAGTTTCAATGTTGTGCTAATAGGTCTGGCAGGCTGGAAGATATTTTCACTTTTAAGTTACTAGATCCCCTCCAGAGGAAGATTCACCAGGCTGCAGCAGCCAGCTGTGGGAGCCTGCAGGAAGGGTCAGAACAGGGATAGGAAGAGGTGGGAGGGTAGACACTAAGACCCGGGGGTGCCCCAAATTTTTGGGTGCCCTAGACGCGTAAGCTGTGTATGCCTAAGGATGGCCCTGCCCTGAATCCTTCATTTCTGGCCCCACCCCAGAGCCCACACCCCCGACCCCCCAGTTAGAGCCCTCACCCCCTCCCGCACCCCAACCCCCTGCCCCAGCCCAGTGAAAGTGAGTGAGGGTGCGGGAGAGCGAGCCACCGAAGGAGGGGGAATGTAGTGAGCATGGGGCAGGGCCTCGGGGAAGGGGTGGGATGGGGCGGGGCCTCGGGGAAGGGGCAGGGCTAGGGTGTTCGGTTTTTGTGCAATTAGAAAGTTGGCAACCCTAGCCGGTGCATGGTGCTCCCCACACCGGCGCCCAAGAGAGCGCGGCCTTTGTGTTGGCAGGGCGAGGACAGCAATATGGATAAACCTGAATATCTACCAACCTGAGTGTGCAGAGGCGCCCTGGCTGCGCTTAGCAGACTGTGTTAGAGTTTGATTTAAGACTATTTGTGTATATTGACATATGATGTGGACAATTTGTGTTTTAATGGTTATAACGCTTTAACTTTTTGAATTGCAATGTCTACTGTCATGAAATAATTATTATCTAGCTCCCCCCACTTAATTTCCAATAACTGTGAAAATTAAAATCAATAAAAAATGTTAAAAGTTTAAAAATAAACATCAATATTATCCCTCAAAATTGTAAAAGAATAAAAATTAAATTCTCCCACGCTTATATATAATATACTATGTGTAGTAAGAGGAGGCCCTGAGATATAAACCTTGGTATCAGAGGCCCGGTATGAGGCCTAAGGTCTGAACTAAAGTAATGGTCAAGACTTTGCTAACATAAAGCAAAGTTAAGTTGTGAGCCAGAGGCAGGCCCTGCTCACAGAAGCTGGCAAGGAAAGGGCTGATGCTGCAAAAAGAGACATACCTA